TGCAGCCACACCTTTACCTGGTGACTTGACACTTACCTGAAGAAGAGAGAGAAAAGACTTATTAGTGGGATCATTATATAGCCTAAGTCTTATAACACAACATTAACCCAAAATAATACAAAATTAATTATAATATTCTAGTGATTTGGTAAGAAAGTAATACACACTAAAATAATATTACATAATGGCAACTGTTTAGGTAATTAGTTTTGGTATAATGCGTAAGAGGTCGCTACTACAGGTCAACAAAGGTCACACACACATCTACACTACACACACACACACACACACCAATACACCAGTCTTCTGTCTTTGTTCTTAATCTGGTAAATAAACAATGTAGTAAAAGACTCATTCTCTCACAGTTGAGGTAACATGTCTCACTGTGTAAATAACTACATTCTGTGTTTGTCAGTGTTTTTGTTTGTTTTTAGTACCATAGTGTGTACATGTGTTTTTTTTTTTTAATATATGGAAGTAGACGTAATCATACTATTAACTGTACTTTTGTGTAATTGTAAATAAGTAATCAACTAATTCTAATTCTTAAGTAATCAAGTAATCAATCATTCTAAACACACACGTAATCAATCATTCTTAACACACACACGTAATCAAGTAATCATCTATACTTTACAAGCAAAGGTTAAAAGGAACAGAAAGGCAATCAACACCTGAACCAAGCAAGCAAGCAGACAGACAGACAGACAGACAGACAGCTTGATCCTTCGTGTGGGATATAAGCTTCCATCACAGTGAAGTCTGAAGGGGGAAGGGAAGGAGGGGGAGGAAGGGGGAGGAAGGGAGGAAGGGAGGGAGGGCCTTTATAATGCAAGTCTCCCTGAACTTCATCTATAAATCACCCAACTGGATGTCCTGCAATGGTTGGGGAGGGGAGGGGAGGGGAGGGGAGGGGGAGAGGGTGGAACAGTGGGGTGAGGGGAAGGAAGAGTGGGAGGAGGGGAGGAATAGTGGGAGAGGGGAGAAGGGAAGAGAGGGGGAGAGAGGAGAGGGAGAAGGGAGGGAGGGATGGAAGAGGGAATGGGGGAGGGAAGAGAGAGGGGAGGGGACACGATCAATCACCAGAACTGTGTCAGGCTCTCCCCCTCACGTTTGATTATTGACCACTGAACCTGAAAATCAATTCCAGCTTCTCCCCCTCCTTCCCTACCTCCCTCCTTCCTTTCCTTACCTTGTCTCCCTCCTTCCCTTTCCTTCCCTTGTCTCCTCCCCTTCCTCCTTCCTTTCCTTCCCTTGTCTCCCCCTTCCTTCCCTTTCCTTCCCCCTTGTCTCCTCCTTCCTTTCCTTACCTTGTCTCCCTCCTCCCTTCCTTTCCTTACCTTGTCTCCCTCCTCCCTTCCTTTCCTTCCCTTGTCTCCCTCCTTCCTTCCTTCCTTTCCTTCCCTTGTCTCCCTCCCTTTCCTTACCTTGTCTCCCTCCTTCCTTCCTTTCCTTCCTATGTCTCCCTCCTTACTTCATTCCCCTCCCTCCCTTCTCTCTCTCCTCTCCCTCCCTCCTCTCATCTCCCCTATCACTTATCTGACACAACTTCTGACACTCTTGTATTATTTCGTGTCACTTTTCATTTTTTCTTATTCATGACACCTTCATGACACTTTTCTCGTCCGTAATACTTGTGGGAATTTTTCTGATGTAATTCTGACACACTTTTTGACACTAACAATTATTCCTATTTATTTGACACGTTATTTGCTTATTTATGACACCGGTATTATCTGTTTTCACCACCTCATATTGTTAAAGATACATAATATACATAATAAATAATCATACGTACACATACGACGTAGTTATACACTCACATATACATAACATACAAATTTAATTCACACACAAATACCACACACAAATAATATACAACAAAACCAGGGTATACATATACATAGATATACACATAACATACACATACATAAAACAAAAGCAGGGCATACATACACACACAGAGTTTAAAGAGGCTACTAGTGGCTCAATGGATCTGTTACAGCATATAATTAACACGAGTGACATTCTATAGTGAGTCTTGGCCCGTGATACGAAGACACTATGTTTAGTGTAAGTTAAACGTGGAGTGAGAATACCGTAGACTTTTATATACTTTACACTGCGTTATACAGTTGATATACTGTATACGCTTATTTTATAGTATACACATTTTATATACGTAATATAACATACACTATATAATGCCGACAATATACAAAATCTATACGTAATATAACGCACGCTAAATAACACATACACTATACACAGCTCCTATATACTGTATTAACGTTCGATGCATCTCTCGTGTGTAATATAACGAACAAAAATATATAATTCAAACATGAGCCATATATTAAATTACCATATATGTGAGTTTTATATCCCACTGAAATTACGCGTGGCTCAGCGGCCGTGCAGAGAGGGATCTAGGGGAAGGGAGGGCAGAGAGGGGAGGGGAGGGGAGGGAGGGGTTAAGTCCATAGTCCCCTCCCTCTCCCCTCTCTGGATTAAAAACCTGATATTGCTAACATATAAACCAGCGTGAACACTACACACACACACACACACACACAGGAGGAGGAGACAGGAGGCCAGGTGAGACAGGAGGCCAGGTAAGACAGGAGGCCAGGTGAGGTTTAAGTGAATGAATTAGTCAGTAGCACAGTGGACAGGTGAGGCAACACGACCAGGAGAGAGAGAGAGAGAGAGAGAGAGAGAGAGAGAGAGAGAGAGAGAGAGAGAGAGAGAGAGAGAGAGAGAGAGAGAGAGAGAGAGAGAGAGAGAGAGAGAGAGAGAGAATTGATGCCTTGTTGCAGTTATTTTTACTATCATCACCTTCATTATAAACAAACCATCATCATCATCATCATTATAAAGTAGGAAACCATAAGTCATAAATACAAATGAAAAAAAAAATCACATTAACACTCTACACTAAAGCAACTTCACACACACACACACACACACACACACACACACAGACCTTGACCTTAGCTTTTGTTTTAGCTGCATCAGTATCTCTTCTACAGCCACTTCACACTACACCAACAGATAGTGGTCGTTATCTTAGGGTCAGTCTCGTAAGATAAGAATTATTGTCATTGATGGATTCTGAGATAAAAAAAATATATATATAAACACACATATACTTATAGCCTCTCTTCCTACATATACATATATACCTACATCTACATATATACATATACATAGATAGACACATTTATACATACAAACACATATATACATGCCTACACATACATACTCACACACACACACATGCACAAGAACACAACAACACCTACACCTACACCCACACACACACACACACACACACACACACACACACCCAAGCTGGTATGATGAGATAAGGTGTAACATGAACCGAGGCGAGACCCAGGAGAACAATAACCAGGAGGACGGGACCTTGGAGAACAATACAAAAGAAAAACAGGACCACGGAGACCAGATATATCCTTTCTGTCGTAAGATTTTTTGTCTGTCTGTCTGTCTGTCTGTCTGTCTGTCTGTCTGTCTGTGTCTGTCTGTCTGTCTCTTTTTTTTGAGAATAAGTCTTCTTCCCAACGTCTCATATCAGGAGACGTGAGAACTTTATGAGTAACTGTCTCACAAAACCTACAACAGAGAGATGACTAAAAAAAAAATGGCTTCAAAAATTGCACTGAGACTCTATCGTATATGTAACTAGCGACTTACGACCCTATGAGACTTAGAGCAGAGATACGTGCATTTCTAGGAGTTTTTTACCTGTGTTTTATTCTTGGTGGAGGAGAGGAGGTAGTTGATTTATACTCGAGTCTCAGTGCAATCTTGGGGCCATTTTTATTGTGTTATTTTTGTTATGGTGTTAGGTTAGGTTGGAGAATGTGTCTGCTGGGAGGGCTGTTGAGAATTTGGTTAGGTGATGGTGGTAGGGGTGGTTGTGTGGTTGTGGTGGTGGTAGAGGGTGGTTGTGTGATTGTGGTGGTGGTAGAGGGTGGTTGTGGTTGTGATGGTGGTAGGGGTGGTTGTGTGGTTGTTGTGGTGGTGGTAGAGGGTAGTGTGTGGCTGTGGTGGTGGTAGAGGGGTGGTGGTGGTTGTGATTGTGGTGATGGTGTTAGAGGGTGGTGGTGTGGTTGTGGTTGTGGTGATGGTGGTAGAGGGTGGTGGTGGTGGTTGTGGTTGTGGTGATGGTGGTAGAGAGTGGTGGTGGTTGTGGTGGTGATGGTGGTGATGATGGTGGTGCTGCTAACCTTTCCAGAGTGACGACCTTCTCTAGCATGTAAAGCAACGTCACTCAAGGCCACCCAGTTTCACCCAGTCTCACCCAACCTCACCCAGTCTCACCCAACCTCACCCACCTTCATCCAACCTCACCCAGCCTCACCCAATCTCAGTTAACCTCACCCAACCTCACCCAACATACACACACACACACACACACACACACTGTCGCTCTCATTCTTTTGTCAATTTTCTCTATTAGTCATTGCATGCCACTTCAACACTCTCTCTCTCGCTCTCTCTCTCTCACTCTCTCTCCACTAAGACTCTCTAAAACTATCATTAAACCATATGATTGTTTATACCGGGAACGACCCACTGAACGATACATACAGTACTCAAGTTTAATATCTTTTATTTATTTATTTTTATTTTTTTAGGGTAGGGGCAAGTTAAGTGTGGTTAGGTTAGGTTTAGAATTTTGGGATGGTATGAGTTTGAGGGGGAAGGCCTAGAGGTAAAGGGGGTAGGCCTAGAGGTAAAGGGGGGAGGCCTAGAGGTAAAGGGGGGAGGCCTAGAGGCAAGGGGGAGGCCTAGGAGGTAAAGGGAGGCCCAGAGGCATGGGGGAGGCCTAGAGGAAGGGGGAGGCCTAGAGGCAAAGGGGAGGCCTAGGAGGTAAAGGGGAGGCCTAGAGGTAAAGGGGAGGCCTAGAAGTGTTGGGGGGGACTATGTGGGGTAGGTGTGTGTGTGTGTGTGTGTGTGTGTGTGTAGCTCACCTGGGGATGACAAGCTTGTCGCCGGGCCTGGAGTACCTTGGGTCGAGGGGCGGGGGATCCTTAGGCGGGGGGTGGGCGCTGGTATTGAGGCACGTGAACATCCTGGTGAGGACGTCGGCCGAGGCGTGAAGGATCTCGTCTGTCTGTTGCTGCTGGAGGGCGGCGGCATCTTCGTCTTCCTGAGTGTGGTCGTGGGAGTGCCGCCTGAGGGCCGTCAGCTGCTCCGACGTCAGGTTAAGGTTCTCCATACACGAGCACCGCCGCGACCTGTTCGGTGAGTTGAGAGACACGTCGCTGTCAATGTTGGAGCGACCTCTCTTGGGCCGGATCTTTCGCGGGAACTTATCGTAGTTGATGGTGGGGTTGATGTAGTTGACGCGGTCGTGGCCGATGGTGGGGGGTGATTCTCTTCCGCCGCCACCGTACCTTCCCCGCATGCGGAACCTCTGAGCGTACATTCCCATCATGGTGCTGGTTGTGATGCGCCCCCAGATGAGGCTTTTATCTTAATATAAAAGTGTTGGGGACAGCCTTAAGAAGGCAGCAGTTAGCTCTTAGGGCGTTAACAGATCAATAGTCACTTTCATCGTTCAAGTTCATTACAAAGTTCAGTCCTTTTTAACTCTAAAATGCCTCGTTTAGGTCACTGCCACTGTCATTTAAGTCTGACATTTACCGGAATAAGAATCGATCCAGTTTTATAACGAAAAAATTCGCCAATAATTCAAAACGTGTACTGTCTAGGACACAGGTGCTGCCGGTCAGACATCGTCTCCGCTGCCAGACGTACAGCCAGTACCAGTGCTGGTCTAGTTACCCTCACCTGTAAGTTTGGTGTCGAGGAGATGAGAGGAAGTAACCGAGTCACACCCCCAACAAGCCCAGCGAGGAAACACTCAAGACACAGCAGCTGACACAAGTGTTCCTTTACGTAATATTATCACAATTCACTTAAACGACTTGTTTTGTTTTTTCAATCGAGAGTTCAGTCTCCACGGACGTAGATCTCACGGGACGACCAAGGCATCAAGTCCCTCGGTCAAGTGGGTCTCCTTAGTGACAGCTACGACCGCCAGGGGGGATTAATTATTATCTAATGTTGAATATTAAACCACGACTTAAAATTCCATACAATATCATACAGACAACACTACGCTAATCTTTACTTCACCAATCATAATATTTTCTCCACCTAAACTTTAAATAAATCACTAAGCAAAAAGTATCCCCTGCGTTTTCTTTAACAGTACGAACGCCGCCAAGAAAAACCCAGTCCTAGATTCGTGTAAACAACCAAACGAAACCCTTGATGTCACTTTCGATCAATTATCAAAAAGATTTAGATTGAATGGCGTCACCTAACCTAACCTAACTAACTGATATGAAGTAACTTACAATATATTTCAACCTCATTGAATTAGAAAATGGAATTAACATTTTTCTACTATTGTTTTCATAATCTCAATAAATAGACGACAATGTATTTCTAAGACAATTTTTACAGCATCAACAACCACACAAACAACAACAACAACAACAGCAACAACAGCAACAACAGCAAAAATAACAACAACAACAACAGCAAAAACAACGACAGTGACAACAACGACGACAACAAGAACACGAATAAAGATCATGAAATACGTCACGAGACCTTGACCTTTGACCTCTCGACCTCTCTGACCTCTTAGTGGTGAAGAAAACCCAAAAGAGAGAGATGGAGAAATTACGAGGGAGGAAAGAAGGATAAGTTGACCCAAGTTAATAGTAAATCTATGTCAAGGATTTGGGGTCATCATGGTGATAACGAACAGATGGACAGACAGACACACACACAATACAGAGAGACGCACACACACACACACACACACACACACAAGACAGAGAGACAGAGACACACACACACACAAGACAGAGAGACGCACACACACTCAAGACAGAGACACACACACACACATACACACACACACACATACACACACATACAAGACAGATACAGACAGAGACACACACACATACACACACACGACAGAGAGAGAGACGCACACACACCTGCCACAAGGACGAAAAACGAAAATCAACAAAAACAACAACCACAACAAACAAACAATAACAACAACAACACACATCCACTATAATACTCATAATAAGACTCAACAAAATATAAGACCATTACCTACTACTTAACATCAACAATAATAAGGCGGGGGACGGTGGACGCTCACTGTAATTATCACAATTAAGCTGATAAATAATTCCTAAGATAATTAGTGTCTGTATAATTATTCTGAGACATATTATATAACAGGGGGGGAACTGGGTCATTGGTGATGTAAGAGTGACGTCATGGGTGTAAGAGTGACGTCATAGGTGTAAGAGTGACGTCATGGGTGATGTAGGAGTGACGTCATAGGTGTAGGAGTGACGTCATAGCTAATGTAATACATACATCATGAATAAAAGTATTACAGCAATTAACAACAGGTGTAATTATCAAACGTGTGAGAGAGAGAGAGAGAGAGAGAGAGAGAGAGAGAGAGAGAGAGAGAGAGAGAGAGAGAGAGAGAGAGAGAGAGAGAGAGAGAGAGAATTCCTGGAACAATTATACATTATAGAGAAATAACACATAATAAAGTGTTTGATACCTGGTAATAAGCCTTCATGTCCTGTGTAATTATCTAGAGAACAATTAACGTTATGTCATGTTATGTTATGTTATGTTATGTTATTGTCTTATAATATAAACAGATATATACATGTCTATACAAATTATTAAGTTTGTTATATTTTCAACTATCATGTGACTAGCGTTACTTCGATTAATAATTAGAGTAAGAAGTAACCATTTAAGAGTAACAAGGCAAGTAACAAGTTCACTATCACATGAGACGTAACACTTTAGTGATGTCAACAAAGTAACAAGTTCAGTAACGAATTAAAGAGATCACAAGGCAAGACTGTGTTACCTAAATCACCAAACTTAGACTTTGTTACGAGTAAAAGTGTGACCAACTTAACGTAACGCTCTCAATGTTGTTTAGGTCACAGGGGGAGGAAGAGAAGGTCGAGAAGGTGAAGGAGGAGGTCGAGAAGGAGAAGGTGAAGGAGGAGGTCGAGAAGGAGAAGGTGAAGGAGGAGGTCGAGAAGGAGAAGGTGAAGGAGGAGGTCGAGAAGGAGAAGGTGAAGGAGGAGGTCGAGAAGGAGAAGGTGAAGGAGGAGGTCGAGAAGGAGAAGGTGAAGGAGGAGGTCGAGAAAGAGAAGGTGAAGTAGGAGGTCGAGAAGGAAGTCAAGAAGGAGGTGGTCAAGGAGAAGGATGAAGAAGGACAATCTCAAAGACACTCACTCAAACGCTAATCGGCTCAGAGGAGGTTTAACCCAACACCTCTACCAAGAGAGACAATCTTTTAGACCAAGACTTGTAAAGAAAAAAAAAAGAAGAAATTGCGCGGGAAACAAAAAAGATGAAATGACAGTATTTTTGTGATTTGAATTTCATTTTTCATACAGAGATAAATATATACACAGGTACACACATACAGTATACACAGGTACATACACACACATTTATAGGTACACACACACATATACAAAAGCACACATACACATATACACAGACAGTCAGACACACGCATACACATAGAACACTGGCACGATGACACATACACACATTAGTATATACAGGTACACACACACACACACACACACACACACACACACACACACGAGACACTGGCAAATCAAAACAATTATAAAGTGATTAGCTGCAGGGATGGAGAGAGAGAGAGAGAGAGAGAGAGAGAGAGAGAGAGAGAGAGAGTATCAACACGAGCTTCTATATCGATAAACAAAACTCCATCGACCAGAAACTTGAGGGACGTTGCTTGTTAAAAGACACACACACACACACACACACACACACACATGCACCTCTCATGTCATACTAGTAATAATCGATTGTACTCCCTGACGGCAGTAAGCAACAATCACGCGATAACAATGATGGTATTTCAATTCTCCTTCTCCTCCTCCTCTCTGTCTTCCCCTCTTCCCACTCCACCATTCTCTCTCTATTCCCCTATTCCTTCTCTCTCTCGTTCCCCCTTTCTTCCTACTCTCCTCTACTCACCACTCTCCTCCACCACTCTCCATCCACCACTCACCACTCTCCCTCCACCACTCATCACTCTCCCTCTCTCACTCACCACTCTCCCTCTCTCACTCACCACTCTCCCTTTCCACTCTTCCTCCCTCACCACTCTCCCTCCCTCACTCACCCCACTCACTCGCCACTCTCCCTCCCTCACCACTCTCCTCCACTAATCACCAACCATGAATAATTACTACAGATGAAGGTCACCAAGTTTGAAATATCGTATCTTTGTATTTTTCACCAGTATGTACAAAGTCAACAATTAGATGCTATATATTTGACGATGTTTGACGATGTTATTGCCACACAAACAATGGCTAAGTCAAACAGGCCTAAGTTCTAATAGATCCTGTGAATATAATGAGTTGAGGCCTATTAGAACTGACTTGGAACCCATTAAGACTGACTTGGGGCACATTAGAGCTGACTTCGGTCCCATTAAGATTGGTTTAGTGATGTATAAGATGACTTTGGGCCCATTAGAACCGGTGGAGTGGATTATAAAATGACTTTGGGGCCCAATAGGACAAAGCTGCACAACTAATGGCTGGGTTAGGTTAGACAGAGGGTCTATTAGAACTGGGGCCTATTAACACTGGGGCTCATTTGACAAGGCAGTGAGAGATAACACTGAAACACCATCACCTCTTCGTTGTCTGAGTGTCACGACATTAACTTGTACACACGCCAGGCCGCTCAGAGACTGCTCCTCTCCCCAGAGCACTTGAGCTATTATTCACGCATCGAGGCATTTCTCACTGGTTAGGGGAGGGCAAATTCACTTTCCTAGGCACTCAGAATTTGTTATCTTTCCTGATTGTCCACTCTATCAACACCGTATAGACACTCGCAATGATGTCAGTCCTGAATGACGAGGAGATTATCACACTTTAACAAGCACTCAGGGACGTCCCATTTTCTGATTAGCCACAATAACACTGGAAATTAAGTCTCTCCTAATTGGTTGGGAGAGTAACACACACACACACACACACACACACACACACACTCTGAAAGTGTTAATCAGATACGTTTACTTTCCACACGTCGAGGAACTCAGAAATCCAGGTCCCTCCTTCCTGGTCAATGGAAGGAGAGAGTGTGAGAAGCACTCAAGAGACGCCACTGATGAGATACATGTGTTTCTTATACTAAATGGCTTGAGAAACACACACACACACACACACACAAACACACACACAGTTCATTATAATCAGAGACTGTCAACTACGACGCTCCACCACGCTCAGTCGATTACAGATAACTGGCGACCACGAGTGCAGAACGCCCTTTAGAGGCGACGCGGCGACCTGTACACCTAAGCGAGCGAGTGAGTGAGTGAGTGAGTGTCAACAAACCGCGGCGCACCAGCCACTACAGAGCTCACACGAACACTTGATGTATATACACTTCAGTGGAGTGTCAGGAAGAGGGAAAGATGTTGTACGCACACACACACACACACACACACACACACACACACACACACACACACACACACACACACAGACATACACACACACACTTGACATTTTCTGCCGTGTACGTAACTGGCGGAGAGTCCAGATGGCGGAGGCAGTTCTATATTTTATTACAATGGAAGACCAATCAATTTATCCACTCCTATCTCTCTCCTCTTCCCTCCTCTTTCTCTCCATCTTCCTCCTATCCCCTCCATTTATCCATTTTCTCCACACTGTTTATATGTTTAGGAATCAATTAAAACGACACCTCTTAACACTCATTAGGAAACGACAAGAGGCACAATGACTTTAAACTCTCGTGGTGTTACTGTAGATTATAATAGACACCCCTGAAATCTTACGGATATTTCCCCGTTTTCTACAGATCGAAACTTATCAATGAATTATGGTGTTTTAATCTGGATATTTCTTGATGTGGGTGTCTGACACGTTGGATAATCCCACGTCTCTGAGATTACTAATGTGTGTGTGTGTGTGTGTTGACCTGAATGTAAGTAGCGTATATGAACTTGAATCTCGACAGGTACTTTTTGTATAGACGTAGACTCGACCAAATAAACGTAAACTCGACCAAATAAACGCAAATTCGGTCATTCAGCGTTGAAACTCGTCAAACAAAACATAAAACGTCAACATCTCTTCCTCCCTCTCCCCTCACTCCCTCACACCACGACACACACACACACACCGTCCAGTAGGGCCGTGAGCGCCGTCCAATGCTACAGGTACACTGGGAGGGTCGCACCTACCTGCCTCGACCCTTTACCAGCGCACACCACCAGGGCGCACCTGTATGAGGCACCTTGCAACAAGTAGCAACGCTGACCACCACCACCACCACCACCACGAGCTCAGGGATAAGCCGTAGGTAGGGAGAGTGGAGGGGTAGGGAGAGAAAGAGATGGTGGGAGGAGGTAGAAGGGGGAAGGGGGGGTAGAGGGAAGCCTTGGAGAGAGTGAAGTGGAAAGGATTGGAAGGAAAGAGAGGGGAAAGTGGAGTAATGGAGGAGAGGAGAATTGGAGAAAGTGAAGGAGGAAAGATTGAAAACAGAGAGAGATAAGTAATGAGATAGGGAAGGAAGGAGGGAGGATAAGAGAGGGAGGGAAGGAGGGAAAAGAAGGAGGGAGGGAAGGAGGTATATTGAAGACTCTTGTACTCAATAAGGTTTCACTCGCTAGGTTGTTATGAGGCTTTTAGAAGTGAGCTGATGAATACAGTAAGTGCCCCTGTGTGTGTGTGTGTGTCCTTCCGTCAAGATGTCAGAATTTGTAATCGACAACAATAATCGGTATTAAATCAGGTAAACAGACAGAGAAACAAACAGACAGACAGGTGACAGACATTCTCTCAGGTATCCAGAACAGGTGTATACGTTAACTCTATCGACGACACCTGTCCACCTATCTAATGGTAAATAATTAACTCTACCTCAATCTGTACCACGTTAAGAGAAAATATATACAAGGTGATGATAAAAAAAAATATCATAGAGAAATATCAAGCTGTTTTCCCTCGAGCCTGTGTATTTTTTTCACATTTGTATAATCCAACGTTAAACTGTTCTAGACGGAGAGACTGTGTGAAGAAGCGCTATAACTATACTCACTCCAGCCTGGTGTGTACAGTAAGTAAACGCCTTACAAGTACGTCAGGTCGGAAGTGAAATATTAGATAATAAATAAAAACAAAAATAAAATAACACTTGAGGGATATATTCTTTACTGATTCAGCTTAGATATACTGTATGTATTCTTCTCCGTCAGTAATTAATGTTTTGTGGTTCAGTGAGTGAGTGAGTGAGTCATCAACTATATGCAACTGTTGAGAGAGAGAGAGAGAGAGAGAGAGAGAGAGAGAGAGAGAGAGAGAGAGAGAGAGAGAGAGAGAGAGAGAGAGAGAGAGTTTTTATGACGTCATGGATTAACCCACTCAGCGTGACGTCATGGATCTGTGGGCCGGGTGATGCAAGTTTCAACACTCGGGAGTTATTTTGGGGACCAGAGACCAGACGCGTGACTCATTCAGGTTCTGTCCAAGGCTGCGTAGTACAGGTAGACCAGAGTACGTATTATTATTGTTAGTAGTAGTAGTAGTAGTAGTAGTATTAGTAGTATTAGTAGTAGTAGTAGTTATAAAAGAGTAGTCGTAGTAGCAGTAGTATAATCTTATGATACTTATCGAAAACTGTAAATTATAAATAATAATCATTCTCAAAGCCCAAACCTTCTTTATCATGTGTAACCTACTTTCCTTGACCCGTCTGATATCTTACGAACTTCTAATCAATTTATGTAAGTACTAAAACATTACCTTTAGTTCAATTTTCATAGATATGTAAAACAAATTCAATAGCAAATAAAATAGCATCAGAAATAACAACATAAACAGCCGAATGACGAAGATTCAGAACCTAAAGATAATATGGAAATGAAGAGATCGAACACTACGAAGACTGCCAGAGTAACACGTAAACTTAATATGGCTTAAATGTCACCAGTAAGGATGTCCAATTATTCTTTTTTACATGTGTCTCTTTTATGTGAACATCTATCTGTCTGTCTATCCGTCCATCTTTCTCTTCCTCAGTATTCTCTAATCCCTGTCTGTCTGGCTGGGAACAAAGAGTATATACAGTTGCCTCACTACTTTTACACGAGCTTACCCTAATAAAAGGAGAAGAAATGTTTGTTTTCTGTAACTGAACCGACAACGAGAATAAAAGAAAACGGCACTGATATAGGACCAACTAAAGCATATTTTCTTCTCACTACCAACAACGACGCAAGAATTATACTGTGTTAAAAAATATCACTACTAATATATACAGTTAAACCATATTGTTTTCAATCACTACACACCAACCAAACTAATAATTAACCGGGCATTTAGTTGACGACTACGGCCTTTCAATACTATTTCCAACACAAACGATAAATAAAAACCCATTATTTTACAAACATTAAAACATAAATCAGAAGGTTTCTTTTAACCAATTACTTATGTATGCAGGGATGGTAAATGCTGGCTGTCTATATGAATCATTATCATCTTCTTTTTTACTATAATTCACATCACCTGAAGATCAGACTTACCAGCTGATTTTTACCTGAAGATTAACTACCTTACCATATCTAACCTACCCTAACCTAACTTAACCTAACCTAACCTAACCTAAACATAATATGGACAACTGAAGGAATTTTAAATGAAACTTGAAAATCGAGAATGCATTTCGGTCACACAGAAATTCGTCAACAGTTATTTCAAACAGTTACCGCCTCGCTCCCCACCAGTCCAGCTCCGTCTATTTCTACCAGATCCGGGTATGTCGCAGCCTGTATACAAGCAACCCTCTACGGCATTAAACACGAAGCTACCGAAACAGACTTGGCCTCTTGACCTAGGACGGTAACTCGATTGATTTGGGGTTCACTGCGCATGTGTACTAGGACCAGAATATGTGTGTGTGTGTGTGTGTGTGTGTGTGTGTGTGTGTGTGTGTGTGTGTGTGTGTGTGTGTAATCTCACATCTTCACTTACGTACGAGCCTTCTGTACGACCAGCACCCAGGGGCGTGTTCCTCATCATAACACATAACACACCTCTTTAATCATTCTCCCTCACCTGCCCTTCTCCCTCACCTGCCCTTCTCTCTCACCTGCCCTTCTCCCTCACCTGCCCTTCTCTCTCACCTGCCCTTCTCTCTCACCTGCCCTTCTCCCTCACCTGCCCTTCTCCCTCACCTGCCCTGTACCCGGAAGCACTAGTATAATCCATGACAACATACAGGGTCAGTGGTGTAGATGTAACTGGTAGACGCCACAGTGACGTCATCATGCAGACGTCATTACACTGTGTTCAAGTCTCCCTCTTGCAGTGTATCAAATTCCAGTTCTACTTAGTACTGTCTTTTCTTAATGAACTTTCCAGAAAATAGTCATAGATTTTTTTTTTATCTTTGATGTTTATAGATAAGAGAAGATAACATGTGTATTCTGGCTCGTACATCAATAAAATACAACATTGGTAACACTACAAGTCTTTAGGGGTAACCAAACTAAAACTCAAAGTATTATAAACAAGATCTAGTTCCTGAATATAAGATCGTTTAAACAGAATTAAGGGTTTAAAGTCTTTTTTTCAGCCCTAACACCCAAGACGCTGATGATAAACAACCCTGAACCCTAAAGACACACTCATCAACGACCTAATCCCCCCAAAACAATCGTAAACCAATTCAAAGGCCAGACTTTTGAAAAACAATATGATACCCCCAAATATGACACTGAAGAAAATCAAATGGAATAATTATATCTCATTGGACAAAATCCCTTCATTAACACATTAAATTGGGGAAAAATAAATCACATCCCGATTTATTTCACCTGATGATGTAACACCCTAAACACTACGTGGTGGGGGAGGGGATAGATTAGATTTGGTTAAGTAAGTTTAATTAAGTTCTACATCGTAACAGTGGATTCAGTTTTCTGTGGTTAGGAAGAGCGAGATTTGATCCATAGAAAACGGAAACTCAACTTCACCACCTGGAAGACGGACCATTACTTACGACACCACTACGCTCTCTCTCTCTCTCTCTCCATCAGACCCCGTGTTGGCCGTGGCTGCGACAGAACACACAGGGCGAGGCCATGCTCTTAGTTACAGCTCTCCAGGATAATCGTTAGCTCGTATTTTTATGAGCCAGGAATAGTTCAATGACGCATTCGTATGACGTTACCCGGATGCAATTAAGAGCGCCGTGATCACTGCTCGAGGAGATGAGAGAGAGAGAGAGAGAGAGAGAGAGAGAGAGAGAGAGAGAGAGAGAGAGAGAGGCTAGAACAGTTACCTTATTCGAGCGTCCCTTTTACTCCAGGAACGACCTTGCTCCAGCGAACAGTGACCAACTTTCTCCACCAATGATAACCTTCCATATATTTACACTTGACTTAAACATTAACCTGAAGGACAATAATGAATGATACATTATAATCAAACTTTATTCATTTATGTATGTTAGTAAAAATAAATAAGTAATAATATAAATTATGATAAATACATTATTACATCACAGGCAACAGTGAGCTTTGATTTGACCGCCTCTATCAGTAATTACACCGCTGATTATTACTTGTGATTCCGTGTTGCTTGATGTGTTATTTGTACAGTACGCGAGGAGGAAAATATCTCACTGGGGAAAGTTGACATATCTTATAGTTTTTGTTGTTGTTGTCTTGATGAAGATACAGCAGGAGCCTCACCTGCCGAAGCCTAAAGGAGGTTTACAGGTGTGGTGGTGAAGACAACTGTCGAAGCAGCACTTGTCTATGCCGGGGCAGGAGCCGTCGCTGGAGCAGACATAAGGAGGGAGGAAGTTCCTGATGGGGGGGCAGATGGTGCGGACTGGCGGGCAATAACCAAACTTCACCACCCTGGCGAAGCTCTGACGCTGGAAGGGCGTCTCGCAGCAGTAAGGTCGTCCTAGGCGGGTCCTGCACCAGTACCTGCACGTGATGGGTACACCGAACCCTCCTATGGGCCTCCCAAAGCCTGCACCTACACCCACGCCCACACCACCTGCCACGCCCACGCCAGGCCCCCCGAATCCGAAACCTCCACCACCAGGAAAGTTTCCAACTACATTCAGGCCGTTGTCAAATCCTCCTCCAAATTCATGGTTAAATCCTCCTCCAAATTCATTGTTAAACCCTCCTCCAAATTCATTGTTAAATCCTTCTCCAAATCCGCCGTTAAATCCCCCAGGAAAGAACCTGGTTGATGGGGCCGAGTTGCCGGGGCTGCTGCCGTCGGTGATGGCACTGTTGTCGTCGGTGACGCTCCCAGTGTCACCAACATTCTTCTCCCCGGGGATGACGGTGCTGGCGTCCTTAGTGCCGCCGTCAGCCGCCACAAGGGCGGCCGTAAACACCACAAGGTAGAGGAACTCCATCTGCAACACAGCGTGAGGTGAGAAACACAGACAGACACAGACACACACACACACACACACACACACACACACACACACAACAAGTGAAACAAACTTGACGATGAAACCATGTCATGTCCTGTTGAGAGACAGAGTAACTCTCAAGACTTGCTCGTAGCGAAGAAAATATAAAGACTCCTCTCTACTTTAAATAAACAACGAAAATCTCACATCTTAACGACCATCCATCATCGGCGAAACAGCTAATGTTAGACACATCTTTTAAGTTAAACTTCTATCTGCGCCTCTCCTATACCTCAACCACGATTACTCTTATACGTTGATATACTAGTCCAGCAACTGTAATGACCAATTATCTTCCCTTAATACTGACAAAACCAGACAACACAGACCACTGGACGCTGACCGAGTACAGGTTGTGGAAGGACAGAGGAGTGAGCAGAGCGCCACCAGCGTAGGAAGTGGAACATCAGTGGCCCCCAGGCTCACACTCTCTGCGTCCCAGATAAATATAAACATTAAAGTTAACCTCAGTGCCTGGCCGAGGTGACACACACACACACACACACACACACACACACACACACACACACACATATTACTTGCTCTGTATAAAGGCAACAGTAGTTTCAATGTTCACTACTCACCGTCTGATCGAAACTGAGTGACGTCGTAACTCGAGAAGATTAGGCTCTCAACACGCTTTCGAATCATAGAACTTTCACAACAACATCGTAAGTCGGGAGTCAATACTCTATCAACTGGGAGATAACCTGACACAGCCGGAAATTCTCGAGCTAAGGACACCAACAACATCGACTGCTCTAATAACTTCCTTGTGAATTAATTCTAAATTGAAAGTTGACATAAACCCTCTGCTCACATACTCACAAACTCACTCACTCACCTCATTCACTCACTCACCATGCAAGAACGGATGCTGACGAAGAACTAGTGGTGGAGATTGAGGAAGGTGTGGCTTATATACCCACTGATGTCCCGCCAACACACCATCACTTCCGTCCTCACCACCACCACCACCACCACCAGTCTCGGGCGGTGGTCCTCACGAATCCGGTAGTGTTGATCTTGTCTTCCTTGTTGATGATGTTACTTGTGGTGAGTCTTTGCTGCTGACGGTGATGTAATACTGCCGTTGCTCCTGCTTTTGATAATGCCGCTGCGTCTGTACAAGTCACGTATACTGTAATGTTGATACTACTCTGCTGCTCCTGCTTAAGAACTAGTGACGCCACAGGTGAAATTATTGACTCTTGGCCATAAAGCGGGTCAAGGTCTGACCCAAGAGCCCACACTGACGCTACGGAACTGACCTCATGCATGTCACTCCCTCATACATAATGCCACGATGGACTTCCCCGCACGTCTCTTGCCATCACAACCACGACGATGAAAATCCTTTGATCACCAACTCCAAACACACGTTAATATCTTGAACTATGGAACACTGACTATGACACAATTGACACAGCATCACTATAAACGACTCCTGAAGGTCATGTTTACATCAGGTTGTCAGTATTATGTGCTGGGGTTTCTCTTCAGCTTAGTGGAGTCACTGCATCAACAATCATCAAGGTGGGGAGAGTGTTCACCTGCCCAGGAGGATGGAGGTCACCATTACCAAGCAGTTATCCTCCCGAAGGCCGTCAGAGTCTTGTGTTACTGAGAGTTATCCAGGAAGAAAATTTCATAAAACTTTCATCTGTTTTTTAGGTAAATACTGGGTTGGTTTTATGTGTTTTATTTTCATTTTATAAGCCGTTTTATTCGTGTGTTTTATACTGATGGACTGAGAGAGACAAGTGTGTCAGAACATGAATGATTTTATGGAGTATAAATACATTTTCATTTTCATTTTTACTCAAAGTTAAAAATAGTTGAGAACATACATGTATTTGAACACGCACGCACACACACACACAGACACACACACACACACACACACACACACACACACACACACACACATACACACACACACACACACACATACACACACACACACACACACACACACACACACACACACACACACACATACACACATAAACCACCTCTCTCTCTCTCTCTCTCTCTCTCTCTCTCTCTGCTTAAGTCCAAGAGTCAGAGAGAGAGAGAGAGAGAGACCTTGTTTTCACCTCTCCCCCCACAGTGAGCGATGGCTGGGTAAATACCTCTTACTGAGTCTCATGTGTGCGTAACTCTCTCTCTCTCTCTCTCTCTCTCTCTCTCTCTCTCTCTTTTTCCATCCTCCATTCCCTTTCCACATGGTTCATTTTCCTTCTCTCCCTTCTTATCTATCCTCACCAGTCAACACCCTCTGCCATCTCCTCCTCCTCCTCCTCCTCTCATTCCACAATCATCAATGTCACCCAACACTTCACACACTGGTTATTGATACATACAGTATGTTAAAATCCCCCAAAACACCAATATCAAATTTGCCATTGGGAAACACATAAGCTACATACTGCATATTGTGGGAAGCCAGAGTAAAAAATATACAAAAAATAAAGTAAAAAAAATAAAAAAATAAAGTAAAAATAAAAAAGTTAAGTTAAAAAAAAAATAATAAAATATAGCAAAATAAAAATAAATAAATAAAAAACATAAATAAAATAATCACTGATACATAAAATAGAATTATGAGCAATTAATTCGAACGCTGTTCTTTTTTTTTTTAATTCTGTTCCGGATACCAACCATTATAATTAAAAATTGAATTGGAATCGTAATTTTCCATCGCTTGTGTGTATGTGTATGTGTGTGTGTGTGTGTGTGTGTGTGTGTAAGAGAATTTCATACACAAGGTAGTTATCGTCAAGATATTTTTCTGGGTCTAATTAATGTTTATATTTACACACTCTCTCTCTCTCTCTCTCTCTCTCTCTCTCTCTCTCTCTCTCTCTCTCTCTCTCTCTTTATTTATTTTTTAAGGGAGTGAAACAGATCTAAGAATATATACCAATTTAATTATTAAGGTAGAGAGATGGTCACCTCATTAACTGGATCCATTTATTTAATTACAGGTGATAAAGGAAGCAATTCGTGCTCATAGTTAATTACAGATAACAGCAGGTATATCTAAGGTAATTAAGACTGTGGATAGTGTGTGTGTGTGTGTGTGTGTGTTTATGTGTATGTGTGTGTTATTAACCTGTGTATATATTTAAGTCATGATTTCATCGTGTATACATACATTCGCGTGACTGTTTTGTTTTTATTCTCATTGCACTAACACACGGACCAGCAATCCCGTTCTCCACTACACTACCACACAATTAACTTAATTTAAATAAGAAGTAAATTGCTCTTAATAATTCCCCCTTGATAACAACAGCAAAACCACTCCTCCTCGTCCTCTCTCTCACTGATTCTCTTTGGTAATTTAAAGCTTAGAACAGTGTTAATTTAAAGCTTAGAACAGTGTTAATTTAAAGCTTAGAACAGTGTTAATTTAAAGCTTAGAACAGTGTTAATTTAAAGCTTAGAACAGTTGACAATCACTATATTGTAGATGGTGACACACACACACACACACACACACACACACACACACACACACACACACACACACACACACACACACACACACACACACACACACACACACACACACACACACACACACACACACACACTTCACGTCTCTAAGTCATTCTCCTCACCACACCTCTTCTCCTCACCACCACACCTCCACCACTCCACCATCTCCACTTCTCCCCCACAGTGGTCACGGGTGAGTGTGTCATTTTCATCCCCCCACAATCCTGCTTTACTGCCTCACTCAGCCATGCTTGGGAGACCGAAATTACACTCTCTCTCTCTCTCTCTCCCTCTCTCTCTCTCTCTCTCTCTCTCTCTCTCTCTCACATACATATAAACATATTTTCCCCTCACTTTTTCCATCTCTCTCTAAAAATATGTTAAGGGCTCAAGGGATTTTCTACCCAACAGCAGGGGATCTTATGGTTCAATTTCCCTAGAGGCCCAGACGACCACCAGGGGAGTAATACGAGGTGTTGGGGGGGAAGGGGGTGAGGGTATGGGGTAGGGGGAGTGGGGTGGGGGAGAGAGGTGGGGAGAGGGAGTTGGGAGGGGTTTGAATCCACTACCACGAGAGAATGCCCGGATTCGTTCTTGTGGTCGTTCGAGTGAGCTGCTGTCGAAAAAAGGTGTTAAAAATTCGGATTCGTTGTTGATGGGGTGTAAATATAACTGGATTCGTTCTTTGAGGTGCTAAAAATAAGTTCCATTTGGACCGGATTCGTTCTTGAGGTGTCATTTGGATGAGCTGCTGTCGATAGGGATGTAAACAAAGTTGGATTCGTTCTTGAGCTGGTGTAAATGAATCCGTCTATAATCCTGGATTTTACTCGGTTTACTTAAAGTCGTTCTTGTACTGTTGCTATTAATTTTAAATAAATAATTAAATCCACATTAACAGTAAATTTAAAACAAAAATTACACTCACGACAAAAAACTAAAAACAAAAATGTCTTGGAAAGGAATAAATAAAAATGTAATTCACTTCTATGGAAACTAGAAATATGAGTTCATTGAATTTGAGGATCATCAAGGTTATATAACGAAGATTAATCTGAATTATTGTCGTATCCAACATGAAGAAAAAACTAAGTGAGAAAAACAAGATTAAACTAGATACAGACAAGACATAAAACCGGATTACAATGTAGCCGAAAAAGCAACATAAAATGACGAGATTAAAATGAGGGTGAGACGGGCTATAAAACCGGTTTACACAGAAGAGAAGATTAAAATCAGAGCGTTTAAACTTCAAATACATATAAACAAAGGCATGAATTCTGTATAAACCTTAATAATTAAAACCGGAGTAAATAACCATTAGATTAAACCACTAAATAAAACAATGAATTAAACCAGCAAAAAAAAAATAACATTCACTAAAAATTTAAGAAAAAACAAATCATATATAAAAGAAATAAACAAAGAATAAATGGCTGGAAAATAAACTTGAATTCAATATAAATAAAAATAAAAAACAACTCATATATAAAACTGGTGAATAAATTAAAATACAAAATGAGTTACAGAAGAAGAAATAAAGAGAATGAATACAATAAAAAAAATACAAGAGTAAACGAAAGTAAATTGAGTTACAAAAATTACAAATTAAAACAAGATAAAACACACACACACACACACACACACACACACACACACACACACACACACACAGAAGAGGAAATAAGAGAGAATATTCGACGATAACAGACAACACCAAAAGGGTAAATAGAGTAAATGATAAAGACAGATAAGCAGGAAAGGGTCAACAATGCCCACTTAGAACTGTTTGTCTGTGTCTGCGTCTGTCTGTCTGTGTCTGTGTCTGTCTGTGTATGTAGGGATGAGGTGAGTCAATATTATCACAGACGGTGTATCTGGATGAGAGAGAGAGAGAGAGAGAGAGAGAGAGAGAGAGAGAGAGAACACACTCAGCCCCAAACCATATAAACACGCCGAAACTAAATTAAGTTACATTAGGTTAAATTAGTTTAGGTTAAATGTAAATTAACTTAGATTACATTAGATCATGTTACGTGAGTTTAGGTTAATGTTACGTAGGGTCAGGCATTTAACAAATACTTTAATCTCCTTCCAATGTCATCCATCTTTACTGTATGTTAACAGAGCAACACGAGCACTAGATAACTCCCAAGTCAATAAGGATAACATTACCATACCACTCGGAGGGTCATCGTACATCTGGCACACCTATGATTAATGACCCCCGGATGATGGCAGTAATTTTCACTGTTATACGGGCCATTACAACAGTATATTATCCTTCATCTGGCAATAAGTGTGTTAGTTAACTTTCCCTGACGCATCTGGTGTATCGTACATTCACCTAGGAGTTGTTTTACCCCTAGATACATTGTCGTACTTTTTTTAATCTGTTTTCAAGACGAATAGGAATAAAAGAGAAGAAAATGAAAGAAATAAGAACAATTCGATACAATTAATTCTCCTAAATGCGCAAATTTTCTTCGTCCGAAACATCTTAAATTAGATTAGATAAGAGGTGGGAACACTGAACTGAAGAGGTGCCAGGGTCATGTTTTATGAAGAGTGTTTAGCGCTGGACACACACACACACACACACACACACACACGCGCGCGCGCGCGCACACACACACAC